TGGACTCGCGTGTGGCAGACTGTCCCGGTCGGCATAGCAGATCGAGCTTTGACGAATTAGGCAGGGATCAGACGAGTAGGTAACAATAGTTAACCGATCTCCCAAGCAACCCAAGGGGTGGTCGGAACCAATTACCTTCACGAACGCAGATTGTGAAGGCATCAAATACCCCTATGATGACCTATTGGTCATTTCCTCTCTCCTCTCTAACTACAAAGTTCGACGTGTGCTCGTCGACAATGGCAACTCCTCAGACATTATCTTCCTCAATGCTTTCAAGCAGCTCTAGATTGGTGAAGAAAAGTTATTGCCTCTGCAAACACCCTTAGTCTGTTTCACCAAGGACCGGGTAATCTCTATAGAGTCCATCGACCTACCAATCACTATCGGTGAATACCCAAGGCAACCTATGAAGATTCCCACCTTTCTAGCTGTCAACTGCCCCTCCGCTTACAACGTCATACTTGGACGCACAACTCTTAATGCCTTCCACACTGTGACATCCACTTATCACCTAGCAATAAAGTTTCCAACCAATCATGGGGTTGGCACCATAAGGGGCGAGCAGACCGTGGCTAAAGAATGTTACATCGCTTCATTAAAGGAAGTAAAAATAAAAGAGGTTATGATCATAAAAGGTTTGGATGTCAGGGATGAGGCGGAATTAGTCAGGGGAGAACCAGTGGAAGAGTTAATAGAAGTACCCATCAACTCTAGCGACCGAATAAAGACGGCTAAGATTGGCAGTCAATTGTCTCCTCAAGCCAAGGCCAACCTCACGGCTCTCCTAATCGAACACAACGATGTCTTTGCTTGGACTCATTCGGACATGCCAGGCATCGATCCTTCTTTCATTACTCACCATCTTAGCATCGAGCCCTAGTTCCGACCATTTTTCCAAAAGCAGTGTATTTTTCATCCAGAGCGCAACAACCTCATCGCCACTGAGGTAGATAAGCTGTTAAAGACACAATTCATCAGGAGTGTGGACTATCCCTGTGATAACCCTGCTCTATGTTATGCTATTTAATCTTAATTACGCTTATAATTATGAGCTTGATATGATTCTGAATGCTAATTATATGATTATCTGTGTTTTTGAATTTTTATTTGTTCACCGTAGGAAAATTTGTTTGATTTTCTATTATAAAATTTAAATTGAAGGCCGTAGAGGCGACAAAAACTAAAATTGACTATATTGTTGTGATTGGCATAATTTTTAGAGCCTATGGTGAAATTTAATTACAAACTAATTCGGATCAAAATAATTAGATTAAACTAATTGAATTAGGCACAATTAATTAACCTTAATTAAGGTTGATTAGGCAAGCTTCTATATAGGCTCATTTATACTTAAGCTCTCCATTTCTTGAGCTCAAAGATCTGAAACACACTCTAGAGAGAGAGAGAGAGAGAGAGAGAGAGAGAGACGGTTCTAGAGAGAGGGGAGGCATAAATTGTAGATTTTGGCTCAAAGCTTGGGAATTTGGAAGCTAGGCTCTAGAAACTAGCTAGCATTTGGAAGATTAGAGCTCCCAGGTGAGTAATTGAACTAAACCTCATGAGTTTAAGTCCATAGCTAAGTGAATTCAAGTAAGATGTGAAATTGAGAGCAAGAATTGAGTTGATTATAATGAATTTGAGGTCAAGATAACCATGCATGTAGAGAGTTGCCATGGAATTGCATAATCAAGCATGTAGCATGTTAAATATGAAAAATTAAGTACCAAATCATACATGCAAGCATAGTTTTGTTGAGCCTCATGACTATGAGCATTATTTGTGCCATCTGAAATGGTATTAAAGTCTATTTTACACATGCATGCGTAATCGATGTAGGTATGAAGCTTGGTTGCATGTGCCTTGAAGTTGTCAAGAAGAATATGAGATGATTTAAAAATTGGATCATAGTTTTGGACAATTGGTCTCAAATTACCTATATTCTCATGCTATGTAATGTCTTTCCATGTTTTTGTGCCAAAACACAAACTTTGGACCTTTGAATATCAAGTTTGAGCTTTAAATGCAATTCTGGAAATTCCAGAATTCGTCGTGTCCGCTCGAGCAGGGAAAGTTCCGTTCGAGTGTAAAAATCAAGCTCCTAGAAGTTTTGCAGACGTTGATGTCCGCTCGAGAAAGAGGGGTTACGCTCGAGCGCCAAGTCACATGTTTTGACTCTCAGCTTGAGTACAGAAATGAGGCAACCAGTACTTTTGCTGAACAAGGGGTCCGCTCAAGTGGGAAAAACCTACACTCGAGTAGAGAGCCCTGTTTTAGAAATTTTGAAAAGTTGTTTTATGATTTATTTTCCGTTCTCTTTCATTTCTAAGCACTCTTAGGCATGCACTGAGCATTGTAAATGGACTAAAAGGATAAGAAAGAGGCCTAAGAGAAGTAAATAAATTAAGAACGAATTGAATCACTTGTGACCCACTATGTTCTGTAATGTGTAGGGTCAAGCGCAAGGGCGAATCTATCGGCAGAACACTGTGAGTAATATCTTAGTAAAGATATTTTCAAGTACGTTATTTTCCAAACGTTACTTCTGTATGAGCTTTATGGATTTGTATGTTAAATTATGGATGAATATTCTAAATGACGGTATTTTGCATAAGACTAATTGAATACAAATATGATCCTAATCATGGGTATGAGACACACGTGAATATGAATATGAAAATGAATTGGGCCTGAGGCTGTTTGATATGACGGATGGGCCTGAGGCCGTTTGATATCATGGGTATGAGACACATGTGAATATGAATATGAAAATGAATTGGGCTCGAGGCTGTTTGATGTGAATGAATTGGACCTAAGGCCATTTGAATATATTAAATGGGCCAAAGGCCATTTGACACAAACGAATTGGGCCTGAGGTCATTTGGTAAGAATGAATTGGACTCGAGTCCGTTTGATAAGAATGAATTGGGCCTGAGGCCGTTTGATATGTTTGGGCCTAAGGCCGTTTGATGTATTAGATAAAACATAAATGGGCCTATGGCCGTTTGATATGTCTGCTACAAATTTCATTCATGTAACTCCTTTATTTTGATATTTTTCACTGGGCTATCGCTCACTCTCATTTATATGTGTGTAGGTGAGCAAAGAGATGTCCAAACCCAACCTCAGTGAAAGAGATGATAGGAAGTTAAGTTTTGTGGAGTCAGCCCGAACGTCTCACGCACGAGACTTTGCTTTCTTTTGTTCTTTTGTTTACTATTTTGTTACCTTGGTGAATACATTAGATCACCCGTGTATATTAGCTTTTTGTTTGGCTGACTATAAATCTGAATGATCCTGTATGTACAAGATTCTATGTTGTTTTCCTTTTGGTGTGAGTTATTACTGAATATATGTGAGATGTTTTGGCGTGCCATGTAAGCACACCTCTTTGGACAAAGGTTTTAAGTCTGATTTCGTTCGGCCCCCATTATTGTTATTCAATACATCTGAAGTAGTTTGAGGCCGTAGGTAATCTCATGATTTCTGGCCGGTTATAACCTTAATCCTTAGGGGCAGGTTCAGGTCATGACAATCCCACATGGCTGTCTAATGTGGTATTGGTCCACAAAAAGAATAGCAAATGATGACTGTGCATCAACTACTCCAACCTCAACCAAGCTTGCCCCAAAGACAGCTACCCACTCCCCCAGATCGATCTATTGGTCGACGCAACTGCTGGACATCAGATGCTTAGTTTCATGGATGTTTTCTCAAGCTATAATTAGATCTTAATGCACGCAGCTGACCAGGAGCACACCTCTTTCATTACTGACAGGGTGACTTATCATTACCGTGTGATGCCATTCAGTTTGAAGAATGCGGGAGCCACTTACCAATGCCTGGTTAATGCCGTTTTCAAAAACCAGATCGGTCGGAATATAGAGGTCTACGTCGATGATACACTCGTCAAGAGCAAACTCTCCTCCGATTACTTAACAGACCTACGAGAGACTTTCTAGACCTTGCGCAAGTATCAGATGAAGTTGAATACAGAGAAGTGCCCTTTCGACGTCAGGTCTGGTAAGTTTTTAGGGTTCATGGTCAGCCACAGAGGTATTGTGGCCAACACAGAAAAGATCAAGGCCCTAATAGAAGTGGTCTCCCAGAATGGTAAAGGAGGTTCAGGGGCTCACAGGTCGAGTTGTCGCCCTTAACCGGTTCATCTCCCAAGCAATTGACAAATGCCTTTCATTCTTCAAAGTCCTTCGGCGGGCTTTAGAATGAAACCCCGAGTCCGAGGCGACCTTCAAATAACTGAAATAGTGCATGGCTAACCTTTCTCTCCTCTCTCAAGCATTGCCAGGAGAGACCATCTTCCTTTACTTAGTTGTTTGCAACATCGCGGTCAATGTCGCCCTTATCAGAGAAGACGCCTTAGTCCAACGCCTGATTTACTACATTAGCCGAGCACTTCGAGGGGCAGAACAGAACTACCCCTTGTTAGAAAAAAATGGCCCTAGCTCTGGTCATCACCTCCAGATGCCTCCGACCTTATTTCCAAGAACACTCCATAGTAGTACTCACTAACCAGCCTTTAAAAAAGGTCATGCAACAACCAGAATCGTCCGGCAGGCTTATGCAATGGTCCGTTGAACTAAGCCAGTATGAAATCTCTTACCGACCCTGAATAGCTATCAAAGGTTAGGTTGTTGCAGACTTTATCCTGGAATTCACCAATGTCACTCCGAACGCACCCCCTCTACCAGCACGCGTCACCACTGATACTGAAGACCCCCACTCCTAGACCCTTAGTGTTGACGGTTCATCCCACAAAGAGGGTAGTGGAGCTGGTTTGATCCTCACCACCCCCGAGGTGAATATTTCAAATGTGCCCTCTGATTCCTATTTGCAGCAAGCAATAACTAGGTCAAGTATGAGGCCCTAATAGTGGGTCTCGACTGGCTAGAGACATTGGGGTTGACCATCTCCAAGTGTTTAATGATTTCCGGTTGGTGATCGGACAAATACCGGGAGAGTTTGATGCAAAGGACGAGGTAATGCGATCGTACAAGGACATCGCTCTTCCTCTAACCTGCCTCTTTAATAGCTTTCACATCAACCATGTCCCCAGGTCAGAGAACTCCCAAGATGACCAAATGGCATAGTTAGCCTCAGCAGATCAATCAGACCTCAGCCATTGCGTCTGAGTTGAATACCTGATCCATCCAACGGTTTCCCCAGGCCAACAAGCGATTCATCTGCTCTAGGACGAGGCTATCCCATAGACCTAGGACATTATCACATTCTTAGACCAAGGAGTACTACCTGCCGATCAGCAGGAAGCCGCCAAGGTCAGGGCTCGGTCTTCAAATTATGCCCTTATCGGTGGCATTCTGTATAAGAGGGGATTCTCACGGCCATACCTCAGATGCCTCAATACTAATCAAGCCACCTACGTAATGAGTGCAATACACGAAGGAGTTTGCAGTAACCATTCTGGGGGATGATCCTTAGCTTACGAAATCCTTCGCACAGGCTATTTTTGGCCCACACTCAACCGAGACACCACCAACTTTGTACTCAAATGCAAGAAATGCCAGTGCTTCACCAACATCCCCCACGCCCGTCTAGCAAAACTGACCACGCTCAGCAGCCCATGTCCCTTCGCCAAGTGGGGCATCAATCCTGTTGGTCCATTGCCGACCGGTAGAGGCCAAGTGAAGTTCGCTGTGGTTGCCATCGATTACGTTACCAAGTGGGTATAAGCGGAGCCTCTAGCCAAGATTACCAAGTGGAATAGCACTAAGTTCATTTGGCAGTCCATTGTGTGCCGTTTCAGAGTCCCCCAAGCCACTATCTCTGACAACGGCAAGCAGTTCGATAATGCCAAATTCAGAGAATTCTGCGCTGGGCTTAACATCAAGACCTGTTTCTCCTCCCCTGGCCATTCCCAGGCTAACGGGCAGGTTGAAGTCACCAATCGCTCATTGTTAAAAATAATCAAGACCAAGCTGGAAGCCACCAAAGGACTCTGGGCAAACGAACTTCCAAATGTGCTCTGGGCCTACCGTATGATAGCAAGAACTCCCACTGGTGAAACCCATTTCCAGCTAACATACAGCGCCGAAACGGTCATCCCCGTGGAAATCGGTTCTCCAACTCTTCAGATGATGCATCCGAACATAGACCCATACAACGAGTTGCAACGAGCCGAGCTAGACTTGATTGAAGAATTATGAGAGCAGTTGCTGTCAGGCTGGCCTATTATCAGCAGAGAATGTGGAAACATTATAATTGCAAAGTCAGACCCCGAGAATTTTCAGTAGGCAATCTAGTCTTACGAGAAGCAACCCTTGCCACCAAAAACCCGACCGAGGGGAAGCTTGCGGCTAAGTGGAAAAGCCCTTACATTGTCAAATCCAGGCCATGACCAGGCACCTACCGTCTACAAGATATAGAAGGCAGAGACCTCCCTCACCCGTGGCATGCTGAGCACTCGAAGTAATATTTCCAATAAAATGGCACCTTTTTCTATTGTTTTGTTCCTTTTACTATTCAGTCCACTTGTTCATTTTTGATATTTCGATGCAATGTACACGTTGACAGTGGCACCACTGCACATCAATGACAAACATATTTCCCTTTCTCTATCATTTGTGTTGTGTAGACTGAGTTAAACAAAGCCTCAGCCAGACTGAGCCCTCCAACTCTCAGCCAGACTGAGCTTAAAGAGCTCAACCAGACTAAGTTAAACAAAGCCTTAGCCAGATTGAGCCCTCCAACTCTCTGCCAGACTGAGTCTAAAGAGCTCAACCAGACTGAGTTAAACAAAGCCTCAGCCAGACTGAGCCCTCCAACTCTCAGCCAAACTGAACCTAAAGAGCTCAGCCAGACTGAGTTAAACAAGGCCTTAGCTAGACTGAGCCCTCCAACTCTCAGCCAGACTGAGTTAAACAAAGCATCAACTAGACTGGGCCCTCCAACTCTCAGCCAGACTGAGCCTAAAGAGCTTAGCTAGACTGAGTTAAACGAAGCCTCAGCCAGACTGAGCCCTTCAACTCTCAGCCAGACTGAGCCTAAAGAGCTCAGTCAGACTGAGTTAAGTAAAGCCTCAGCCAGACTGAACCCTCAAGCTCTTAAATAGACTGAGCCTGAAGTGCTTAGCTAGACTGATGCTCAACCAGACCAAGTCCAATAACCTTCTCTCCAGTTTCAAATTACTTCAATTTTTATATAGCCCCACCTTTCCATCACATGATTGTTTTCAAATTACCTACTTCATCATTATTTTTCCTTACAAATGATATTCTTTCTCTCAAGCGTGACATCCAACTCAAAAACATGCATTCAAACTTAACATCAAACCAAGTCTTGAAAGACAAAACAAAGCCAAACAAACAGCAGTTTTATAACTTAGCTTTCTTACAAATTATAAAATTCTTCACAAGCAGTTTCACACTTCTTATAACAATTTCTTCCAAACTCTAAAAATCTTTACACAAGCCTAAGTTAAATCTTTACAACCACACACAAAAAATATAAATCAATAAATAAAAACAAAAATACACAAAAAAATAAATACACAAGTTTGTAACCTTGCTAACGGCGCAGTAATATCCTCAATCCTCTCCACCTCCATCTCCTTCCTCCCCACTGGACACCAAATCTTCTTCCTCAATACCCTCATCCAGGGGGGGTCTGCGCGATGTCTCCTTGTCCTGGCCTTAGGAGCTTGGCGTCGATTTTTGGGAAGAGCTCTACCACCCTCCATTGGCAGCACATCCACCCGCTATCCCAATACAAGCTCAGCTGATGCTTGTAAAGGTTAGACTGTTGAAAGCTTTCTATTATCTTTGCCTTCGTCTGCCCCTTCACCCGCTCAGCTGCCGCCGCGTTCAAAGGACCTGCCTTCTCTCTTTCTCCCTTAGCCAGACTAGCAACTACAGCAGCATCTCTGGCTATTTGGAATTTTGACTTCTGCTTGTACCAATCGACAGTCGCCGCATAGAAATTAGGGTAGGCAGCTCTCTCTAATGCCAACGTTCTACTCAAATCAGGGTAAGCATTACCCTTTTTGTGGCCGCGAGGTCCTTCTCTAACTTTGCAATTCACGTATCTGCGTCCTCCTTCTTCTTTATAGTCTGATCACACAGTTCTTCGTTGTTGGCCAAGGCCTCCTCCAACCTCTCTTTAGCTGTGGTGCAGGCTTTTTGGACCTCGCTAGTTCTCTTTTGCTTAACCGCCAAGTTAAATTCAAGCATTACTTCTTCATGGTGCACCGCCTCCAACTCAGACTTGGCTTGGTTCAGATCAGCAGTCATGGTCGACAACGCTACAATTGCTTACGTTTGCCTGGTTGTAGCTCTCTCAGACATGAACCCCTGCACCACTGTCAATACTTCCATATTTTTAGCATGCTTTGCATATATCAGGCCTCTGGCACACACACTTCGTGTCATTTTTTTCCATCGCCTTACCTCTGCCTTCGCTGCCTCCAATTGTGCTTTGAGGGGCTCTATATTGAGCCTCGCACTCACTCTTTTGCCCAGGAGGGTGGCCGCTAACGTCAGAGACTCCATCTGCGATGAGCAGAAGGCCTTCATCAGCTCAGCCTCCGCAAACCTAGAAACACCCCTTACGGGGGCATCTTCTATGGTGCCCAACAGCCGCTCAACAACCGCTTGTGCTGTTAGTGACACCTTTGACGACTCCCCTCCTTCAGCCGATGATCGATCGATTACAGCACTCAAGTGGTGACAAGTGGTACCCTTTCCCCCCACACTTGGGCTTCCCCCAACACTACCCCCTTGCGCAACGGCAGGGTGTCTCCTTTCTACATCCTGCCTTCTTAGCCCCTCCTGTTCAACTGAAGGGACGAGCTCAACACCACCCACACCTATTTTCTGCTCTAAGGGGTGATCCTCCCTCTAGTCCATCATTCCTACCACAAGTGGATCATCATTCCCTCCCTCAGTCGCCATTCCAAGCCTTGGCCCTACAATCTCCTCCACTGGTTGTTCCGCCTCCCCTTTTTCCCTTTTCCCTCTTTGCCTTCCTCACCTCCCTTGGCACACTCTTCTTCTTCAACACTTGGTCTATTTCCATTTTGCTTCTTGCTTTCATCGGATCTGTAGGCCCTTTCAGCGGCACGAATGTTTCCTAGTCCCGTTCTTCTACACCCTTGAGATGCGATAGAATAAACCTCTTTGCAATTGGCTTTAGGACGGGTCCCAACTCCTTCTCCTTATACCTCTCAGCCACCAACAGCACTCGCCGCTCCTCTGCCTCTTGGGCTTTTCTCCTGGCCTTTACCTCCTCAGGCATGGGATCTCTCTCGACGGGCTCTGGTCCTAAGTTCAACGTGAACAACGCTGACAACTTCACCAGGTCATCCCACCTCAACCCCTCCTTCTCTTTTCAAGCCCTCACCTACTTCACCATGCTCTCTGCCACCGCGTCCAACTTCGATTCCAACGATTTTGTGGGAACTTTCCACATCGTCCGAACCTTTCTTTCACTATGCTTCGACACAAAAAACCACTTCGTCCGCCAGCCCTTCATGGACGAGGGCAATCCGATGACCAACCCCTTACCTACCACTACTTGTAAGGTCACCTAGGTCTCCTACAAACCTGAGGCTTTGTAACGCGAGAAAAATTCATCCACCGTCATTGCATTTCCATTAGTCGCCTGTGGCTAGGAGATTGCGCACGCCAACAAGATCTTCCACGTATTCGGCATCAACTAGTTAGGCGCTCTAGTCGATTTAGCACCTCTACCACAATTTGAGGCATGGGCAGTCTCAATCCCCTTTCAAAGCTTCATAGAGCGTAAACTCTGAAGGGCTCACATTCGACGCCCTCTCTTTCTCTAATAGCAGTCTCAACTCCACCTCTGCCGAAATCTAGTATTTCACCCATAACTCCTTCAGGTCCTTCAGCGTTAACGTTGATTTATCTGCCTTGGTGTGCCAGTGGTCAAGGGCCATTCGACTTATGGGTTGAGTGGTCGATATAACTGTCGTAGACGTTGGTCGTGGTGGCATCTCCCCTCCTCTTTTCCCCAACCTCCTCACCCTATATTCCTCCGCCAGGGTAATGCCATCATTATCTCCTAAAGCATTAGGCATCAATGTCAAGGCTTTCTCTTGTGCCATCCCGCTCACATTCCAGTAAATCGCTTCAGTCGCGGGGGCAAGAAACCTCGTAACGTGCAACAATGGTGAATCGAATGAAACGAACGAAGCCAACTCTAGGATCTCTCAGTTTCTTACGATTAGAGACGTAAATTACACGAGCCCAAACGCCCAAGGTCTGCCTGTGTTCCACGGATTGTGATCGAAGTTTGCCAGTTTAACACCCAACTGCCAAAATAAATCCCCACTTTTTGAAATCCCCCACTATAAACAACCCTTTCACTTTCTTTCAATAGTACCATCTTTTTATCCAACGGCGCTAATGACCTCACGCGCACCCACGCGCTACGCCACCACCATTAACTATCCTTTTATTTCTCGTCTTTTCCACTTCACATCATCACGTGCTTTTCTGGCCCTCGAGCCCCGTGCCCATTACTGTCTCCCTTGTCGGTTGATCAGTCTTCTCTCACGCTCAGTCACCCTCGCGGTCGGCCGGCCTGACGGTCTTTCCTCACGCTTGGCCACCCTTGCGGTCAGCCAACTTGACGGTCTTCCCTCACGTTCGGCCACCCTCGCAGTCGGCCAGCCTGATGGTCTTCCCTTACGCTCGGCCACCCTTACGATCGACCAGTCCACGGGTCATTCTTCTCGATCAGCCATCTTTGTAACTAGTTGGCCTTACACACCCCCTCACCACCCCTGTCACTACCATGCCTTGGGGGACTACCTCCCACACTATTATTCTTTTTGTTGGACTAAACCTGCACTCGGGAATGGGGGACTACTGATACTAATGGGCACCCAAGAGGGCCTAGACCACGGATCAGGGATCAGTTCGCAGCCCAAAGATCAAAGCCCAATAACATGCCCTATTCACAGCCTAGAGATCAATGCTCAATAACTTTGAGAAATCGATGTCGGGCCAGGACCAATAACATTCAAACACTTATCAGGTAGAGGCCTAGTCACGTAAGCAGACAAAGATCCTGCAAATTTATTGTGCCCACACATTAACCATTTAATGAGGCCCTGGTAGCATTAAATGCGACAACCCCTTCACGCTGGAAGGGACAGACTCACCATAAGCGATGTTGACTAGGC